CTTAGTTTCACGTACCCACTTGCAAATAGTAGATGTCGCCACACAACGTAAACAAAGGGACTACCCTTCACCGCCGCAATGGTATTTCTCTATGGGAAGGCAGCTTTTTGTTTCACCATGTGTGGATGTCAAGCAACAAGCAAGAATGCCATGTGAAAAGAGCGATTTATGATTTTCGTGGTGAAATGAAATAAATCCAAACAAATTGGAACAGATTGATGGAAGTTTTTCTTATATAATCAAATAGAAATAAAAACACATTTGTTAATTCTATTATATTTTGCTCTTGAATATTATCAGTCTTGAGAATAATGTTTAATACTTGTGCGGTGAAGACTTGCAATAAAAAGCCGTATTATTAAAAACAGTTTACTTCCCCATCTTTCTATTGAGGGGTGAAAAAAAAATACAAAATTGATTCTTATTCGCGGTGAGTAGCAGGTTTGCTGTGTGAACACTAACATTTCGTATATTCATTCAAACATGAAGAAATAAATAAAATAAATTAAAATAAGCGTCTCTCAACAAAAGATATTCATAATGAGCTTCTAAAACGAATAAATTTCAGTGATTGTCTTTTGTTACACCCGTCCGTTTAATTAACATTGTTCCCCACCAACTTGAAGTTTCAAGAAACAGATGAGGCTATCTGTTTTTATGTTCAGTATTTTATTTACTTTATTTACATATCTGCATTCGCCCTATTCAGATAACACTTCTGAAATTTGTGAGTTTGACAGAACCACCAGCACCAAATTTTCGGAGTACACTGGAAATGTACTGGACTTGTCAAGTTGCCCCCGGGTTGCATTCAACACACATGGGCCGGGACCAACGGCTTTACTTCCCTTCCGAAGGAAGACGTGACCAGGGATTTTTATGCCTCAGAAAAATCCCACCTACCTCGGCTGGGATTGATACCAGACCCATTGGGATGTTAGAAAGCAGTCACGCTTACCACTACACCACCGGCGTCGGCCCTTGTTAGTCTTACCAAATAAGACTAACAAGCCTTTAATAACAACTCATATGAACTATAAAATATAGATTCTTGTTTCGATTCTAGTGTCAATAATGCGCATTGCTCTCATTATAAGTTCGATTATTTCTCGGTTCATAAGGAATAATGGAGTGTTTGCTAGTGCTAGTGTACTAGCCAACTAGCACGAATTTCAGTTGCTCCTGAAATCTTGTGCTGGTAGACGCTGATGCCCTGTTTACATCATATTGGTGAGCATTTTTGCTAGCAGCTAGTGAAATAGCATAAGTGTAAACAGCCCATAAGAGCTATCGGTGCTGCAAAAACATACTGTTCGTATCATTTCGAACTGTCCTTCAGTCCCTCACGGCAAATGAATCTAACCCATATATGAGGGTTCTCGAATTTGCAAAAACGTAGTTAATGGCCCAAATGCAATGTTGGCGGAAACGGTCACAAATGACATCAAGATGCCCAACCGAAGTCGATTTAGTTCTCAATAGTTTCCAATCCGACCAGTAGTCTTACTTAGATCGATCTATTCCGCTGCCGTTGCCGTTCCGCTTCCGCTGTCATTGAAAGTGTGTCTTCACTCATAGAATCAGTAAATATTTACTCAAATATGAGAAAACATGACGTTGCGTGACATTTTCTCATAATTAAGTCAACATTTATTCATGCCATGAGTGGCCTACTTTTTTTTCGCAAATTTGGGGGAACGGTACCCACACAGTTAGATTATTTTGCTGTGCGTTAATGAGTAAAATTTCCCTCGATTTTCCTCATGTTTTCCTCAGATTTCTGCCCGAATATGAGTGACATTTACTTATATTCGCGGAAAAAATTTACTTAGCATATGAGTAACCGTGGATTCAGAATATTTGAGTAAACGTAACTCAATTGTTTGAGGGTTTCATGGGCCGTGAAGAAACCGAATCTTCGATAACGGTTTATGTCTAAGATATAAGAACGTTTTAATCATCTGTATCAGACGTATGGAGTAAGCTTTCAAAGCTTAAAGCTTGCCTAGTGTAAATTGATGGCTTACGGCCGATGAGATGAACTCAAAACTTAGTCGGATTTAACTCAAAATTGCACAGATATTCGAATATATTTCTGGAAAGACTTTTTTCCAGCAGACATTTTGAAGATATTTCATATTTTGTGGAGATGTTTGAAGACATGCTGATACTGAGAAGAAATCCGAAGGAATTTTGAATTTCAAGCGGGCGTTTGAAAATTTCTGCTCCCTACGCACTTAGATTTTCGGCATTTCATTTTGCTGGAACTCAGTGAAAAACTTGCCGAGATTCAGCTAACAAACGGGATTTTTTCCGAGATCTTGCTCTAACTGATCTGAAATCTTTAATTAACTGGAGATTCTTTGGATACTTCCTGATCAACGTGCCATCTGACTAACAATATTTGAATTTTTGAACGGTTAAAGATCTTCAAAATGAACTACGTCAAGCTGAAGTTTTGAAAAATATACAGAGGACATTATTGAAATCTTCGAACAGCTGAATTTTTTTTTAATTCTTTCTGGCCAACCTACCATCTGAGTTACAGTTATTCATCTTGATCAAAGCAGAGTAATGAAAATTTAAACAGAATACTTTATTGAATTTTATGATCAACAACAAATATAAGTTCAAATAATTCACATGATAATTTTTGATCAACCTTGGGAGAGTATTTGTAGGCGTCATTTAAGTTGTATTGGAAAGTAGAATATCTTAAAAATAAAAATTGATACGAGCCTAAAAGCTGGGATAAAATCTAAAGGACTTTTTTTATGTCTCATTGGATATACGTGAATATCAAAAAAGTTCTTTCTTTTTTGTAGAAGCATTATTAAGGAGATGTACAGCCAATGAAAAAGTTCTCTAAAATTCAACGAAACTTCCTGAACTTTCGAACGAAGTTTTCTGTACTTTCACAAAGTTTCTTGAACATGAACTCAGTTTCATGAACTCAAACGAAGTTCCCTAAACGTTTTTCTAATTCATGGAGGAAATTCGAAGATCTCTGAGCCTTTTCGAAGATTTCTGAATTTTTAATGTTTTTCCATAAATTATACACTCAACCTACAACTTATGAAATTCCACCAAGTTTGCTGATCATTTACAAAGTAACCTTAACGAATTAAAAAAAAAAAAGTTTAAATGCTACGTACTTTGCTGAACTTTTTCCAAGTTCCAATATTATTATTTTAATTTCCAAACTTGAAATAAGACGACCAGAACACCCATGAGCTTCTCCAAGCTTGCGGGAAGATCCTTAACCATTTCTACGATTTTTTCTGATCATCTGGGTGAAACCGAAGACATCATATCAAGAAGACTGGCAACTTTGCCAGAATCCAAGCGACAGATACAATAGCGCTGCGCTTGAGTGAAGGTGGAAGCAACGCATAGAAAAATGAGCAAATAAACAAATCTTTATTCTGAGGATGTAATCTTTGCTATCAAATTCGTTCGAAGCATTTACCTTTGAGCGGCAGATGACGCGATTGTCATAGCGTTCGTATGAGAAAATGGAAGAGCTGCCAGTCTTCTTGATTTGTTGTCTTCGGTGAAACGAAGTTTCCAAAACTTTTAAGAATTTAATTGAGTTTTTTTGAAATAAGTTCTTTGACAAACTGTCTACGAAATTCGATGTACTATTCTTAATCCATTTCAACTGGAACGAAGAGCTCTGAACGAAAGCTCCTAAAGTTTTGAGAAATTAATCAAAGTCTCGTTAGCTTCAACGATGTGCCTCAAGCAAAGTCTACGAAGTTTTCCCGAATTGTTACATATCTACGAAGTTCCCTGAATTTCAATTCACTTTCGAACATATGTTCCCTGAACATCTACAAAGCCTTACACAGTTCAATGAAGTTAAGTTTTACACAGTTCAATGAAGTTAAAGAAAAATCCCAAAAATTGAACAATATACCCAAGATTCTCTAAAGTTCGGTAAATTGCTTCAAAAGTTCGCTGAAGTTCTACACAATTATCTTTTATCTATTATTATTACAAAGATCGCTGTATTTCATACATTTATCCATAGTTTGTTTATACAGCAACTGAATTTCAACAAACTTTTAAGAGAATTTTCTATTACTCATACAATGTTCCTTGAACATCTTCCAAGCTCCAGAATGTTGGTTTTCCATGCTCTTTTAATTCAACCAAAATCTCAGAACATCGTGCACTTCCACGAAGATCAATGAAGTTCACTAAACGTCTACAAGTTTGCTGATCGTTTAGAAAGATAGCTGAACTCCTATTTATTGCTCTTCTAGAAAGTTTTCAATAATTCTTCGCAATTTTCTGAACTTCTACGAAGTATTCTAAAGATCCAAGAAATATTCTGAAGATCTATGAAGTTTTTTAAAGTTATACAAAGTTTTCTGAACATTTAGTTTCATGTTTAAAACCTCTATAATTAACAAACAAACACACAAATTCGAAATTCTTCTAACTCTCTGAAATCAAATAATGTTTTCTATGACTTCTAAGATTGAAGATTTTTTCTAAATGCATCTAGCAATCCTGAATATGCCTGACATTTACACATATTCAAAAAAAAAAACTCATTCAATGGCTGACCATGTTTTTTGCAAATTTGAGTGAACGGAACTCAAATTTGAGTTGGATTCAATGGCCGTGTGGAAGTTTATTGGATGACTAAATTCTATCCATGACTTCTTGAAAATTGACAGTAAACAGTTCGGTGATTTTTCACAGTATTCCTGTAATTTTTCACAGATATTCTGTGAAAAATTACAGGAAAACTATGAACAGTCAGCGAAAGTTCAGTTGTTGAGGTTTCGATAAAATTTCACAGAAATCAGTAAAATAATCTCAATATGTAAATACCATGTTTTTAGTTCCGATAAATATGAAGCAAACGATGCAAAATATAATTTAAGCAAACTCACTTGTCTAACTTAAGCCATTAGGGCATTTGAGCAACCTCTTTTGAGTTTTCGGATTATTAATTGTGATACCAAAGCATCAGTGAGACATCAACATACTTATAAAAATTGTTTATTTATCAACATTTAAATAACATGCTACAATTGGTGACCTATCATTTAACACAGCTCATTCTAGTAGTAAAACATTCATTCTTAACTCCACTCCAAAGAACATCCAAATTTGATTAAAAACAGAAACACTATAGCTTATCATCCGTAACTGTATATAGCAGGAAACAAAATATGGAAAACTTTACAGGTCATTTTTTTCTGAATACTGACTAGTCTTTTTGTAATCTAAAACTTGGCTTATTACGTGGCTTTCTGTTTCATGTGCTGTAAAAATTGGTTGAAGATCGTGTATCACAAACACTATCCTGATAGCTCTTATGTACACACCATGGGTTTGCTAGAGAACATTTAATTCCAATCGGAATAAGAACCAAACCCTCTTATTTACAGCCAGCTAGGTATGTACGATGGGACTTCTATTTATACTATTTACAAGACGGACATGCTGCCATTGTTGCTGGCTTGCTGCAGCAGAATCTCCTGCAGGGGGCTGGATAAGTCATTCGGGACGAACGAATCATTTCCCATCGGTATGAAGTACGTATGCTGCTCGCCGTCTTCGACCAGAAGTCCGTGCTAGTCTCGCAGGTCACAACACTCGCTAAAGAATCGGCCCAGAGTGTGATAAAGATGTGGTCGTACTCCGGCAAGGCTGTGATCCTCGTCTGGGTAGCTCTGTTGGAATCAAACAATAAGTGATGGTCTGTTACGGTAAACTTAAGGGGCTTCAAAACTTACCACTTGTTTGAACATAATATCATGGGTTTCCAAGGCTCTTGTTAGCTGCATAGCTTGCTGGAAGTGAACATTGTCGTCGAAGGTTCCGTGGATCAACATGTATTTTCGATTCCGGAACTTCTCATACAATGCCGTCAACCGTGACTGTTCGTAGCCTGGCTTGTTGTCCGTGGACGTCGGCAGTCCCATGTATCGCTCGGTGTAGATGGAATCTGAAATAGCGCAAGCCATTTGAAGGATTACTGTTCTACATAACAAGCAAAAGTAAAATTACCGTAGAAAGTCCAATCGGTAACGGGTGCCACGGAAACGGCGCATTTGAACACGTTTTGAGTATCCTTTGCCAGGGCCATCGCCGACGCGTAACCTCCGTAGCTCCAACCCCAGATTGCAGCCCGGGCGGGATCAATAAACGGCAACTTTTCCGACAGCTTCTTCGCCGTCGTGATCTGATCTTCAATTTCAACCGTTCCCAAGTTACGATAGATCTGGAACAGTAGTTTATCACCTCGCAGACCCGATCCTCGACCATCGATCTTAGCGTAGATCACCGAACGGTTCGAACTCATGTGATGACCCCAACCAATCGACCAGGAACTGATTACCGAGTATGAATTTGGTCCTCCGTAAACGTCCACCAATAGCGGATATTTAACCTTACCACTTCGATCGGCACCAGGTGGAATTAGCAGCATCACCTTGGAAGTGAATCCATTATCCAAGTCGATTTCATGGTACTCAACGGTTGGAAGTGATTTGTCTTCCAAGCGAGCACGGAGATCACTGTTTGTTTCCAATGTTTTAACTGGTTTCAAAGTGACAGCTGAAACATGACACAACGTTAGTCACAGTACGGATTTCCATCAGTCATGTGAAAACTTACCATCTTTCGCAAAACTCCACTCAAACATCTCCGCCCAAGGTACACCCGGACCCTTCGCTTCCAGGACAATGTAGTTACCCTTTTTGCTCATCTGTGCATTGAAGTATGACTGCTTCGGACTCGATCCTACCGTACACGTCAAACACATCGGTTTAGCATCAGCATGTCCCTGCACTGCAAATATATGCATCACATGCGAGTCTTCCTCCGTATTAGCAGCGAAGAATATCAGGTTGGTCTCCGGCTCCCACATCAGAATTTCCTGAACGACGTACTTGCCACTGGTGAATGCCATGGTACTTCTAGTCTGAGTTGAGATCATGGTAATATGGTGATAGCCTCCGGCATCAGTCTGATTTTGTGAACTTATTATCACAAACTGAGATCCATCCTTGTTGAACACTGGGGCGCTGAACAGTTCCAACCATCCTCCGTCAGCACGGATTTCATGAACTTCTCCGCAGTTGTGGTTTTCATCGCACGACTTAATGATCGCGTGATTTTGGACGCGATTCTTCCAGATCGAGACCAATCGACCGTTATTGGCCCAACCGACGGACGTAATGATGTGATCCATATCCGGTGTCACCAATGCAGCTGGAGGCATAATTTCAACCTTGACCGTTGGATTGGCTATATTCACCTGATAAAGATTTACAGTGGGGTTGGGCGTTCCAGCTTTTGGATAGTGCAAAGCCAGCTCGTGTGGATATTGGAACTCCGGATGCCCAGGTGGTCCGTAGATGGGTATCTTCATCAGTCTCGTATTGGTATCGTTAAACCTAATAAATGCAATCTTTTGACCATCTGGAGAAAACCATGTGGCAAGGTTCGTGGAGAAAACTTCCTCTTCGTAGACCCAATCCGGGATACCATTGTAGGTGCTAGCTTCACCATCGGTTGTTATCTGAACCTCTTTGGCGTCGGGTGATGCCTTGTAGTAGAGATTGTTCAGGAATACGAAGACGAACGAGTTGCCCACTGGACTCCATTCCACCACGTTGAGTGCTCTCTGAAATTGAAAAAAAAAACTGTTAGTATCAAATATTGCTCCACAACATCAAACAAACTCACTCTCTCGCCATTGATATTGAGCGGAATGACTTTATTCTGCTGCAGATCCACAATGTCATACACCGCCAGGAAGCTATGCCGGAAGATCTTGCTGTACCCTCGAGCCACCAATAGGTACCGCTCATCAGCCGACAGATCAAACTTGAATCCCTGCAGTAGTATTTCATGCGACTCATCCAATAGTGTCTTGGTCTCGTTGGTTACCGGATCGTATGCCAGCACCCGTCCTATATCATCACGCGATATCACCTTCCCGCTTGGAGACCACGAACCGGTGAAACTACGTGCCGACAGTTTACCGGTCAGGAAATCCTCCAACGTAATCGGATTTCCACTGGACACTATCGGACTGTTATCGCCATTCTTGCTTGCATCATCGTCTCCGGTTAGCACTACTACGAGTGTAATCACCACGGCCAGCACTATTGCCGCTCCACCAGCTAGCAGTAGATATTTCTTGGTGTTTCGTTTCTTTGAACCTACCAGCTCCTATGAATGCGAGAGGAGAGAAAAGAGGTGGAATAATGAGTGATAAGGAATAAAAAAAAACCTTGATTATCTTAGAATCTATCAGAGTTGGGGGCGTGAAATACATAACAATAGCGGCTTTAGAGGTGCTATAAAGTTTAATCTTTTAGAAGCTTCAATTCAGTTAATTACCTGAATCGCTCAAGATAAGATTTTTCAGCATGTGGAAAACAATTGCTGTACCACGTCGTCAAGTGTATTTCGATCGTTTTGCTTTGGCAATTCGCCATCAATCAAACTTTTCGAAATGATTGGCTTATCAATGCTGTCACGAGGTGTCGACCCGTGGCAAATCAACTGTTTTCGCAGAGTTACTTTAAATTGCGCTCAGGGGGTCTAGACTATAGTCGCTATATTTATAGTCTAGCGGATAGAATTTAGATCTACCAAAAAGCGGAACCAATTCAACAATTGAAAAGGTACTATCAAACGTTGATTATTCTTTCCTCGACTATCGAATGCGAATTACCATGCATCATCGGATAGGGGAAACTTTCCCCAACCCAAAGATGGTGTTAGTTTGCATAGGCGAGCCTTGAGTCAAGCCTGTTGTTGATCGTGATTTGCTCGATTGGTTCCGCTTGTTGACAGCTCAATTGGTTCCCGAGATTCTATCCGCCAGATCCTAATGTAGAACTATTGAGAGGGTTAAGTAATTTCCTTATTATTTTGACAGATACGCATATTTTATAGACCTCTTCAAAGCCAAGAACTCAAGCTTCAAGAATGTCTTGAGTATTTAAATCAGGAGAAGTATACAAGTAGTGAATTCAATACGCGTAGGTATCTGTCAAAAGGCAAGCAATTCTTTATAACAGGAAATTACTCAACCCACTCAAAAGCTCTTCTTATCGTCTGATGTATTGTTGGTCAAGTTGGACATCGGAAAACCCCACTCGCGACATTCGATTTTACTCTCTTTCTGTACGTTAAACATAACGTCGGACATAGAGCGCTGTGTAGCGCATTATTGTGTGAAATTCCGACGTACAAAACGAGAGTAAAATCGACTGTCGTGTGTGGGGTTTTTCAATTTTCAGCTGGAACTTCACCTAAAAGTTCTTTAATTCAAGCTAATAGTTTTAATGTTACCCTTAGAAACGCTAGAATTTCACAAGATGTTTTTAAAACTTTTTCCTAAAGACCGTGCCACTATTGCGGATCTAAAAAAATCCATCCATCGGCTATCGCGAGGGGGGCGACACATCTAAATCTCAATTTTAGATGCTCAATAAAGCGAATAAATCTTCGAAAAATCTTCTTTCATTTCTGGCATCTACTTGCATCGCGCATCATCTTTTTGCAGGAAATCTTCAAAATCGTGATAAATCTTCTTTCTATCTACTCAGCGTACGCGCAGCTAGCCACAGCAAAACACAATATTTCCTGCATCGTAGATAGAGTCGTCCCCCTCGGGCTATCGTAGAGTTCAACCTCAGCTGTCAAAGCTCTACCTCAAGAATAAAAATGAGCTTTAGTGTCAAATGGGATAAGATGCATACCTCTTTTTCGATGATCTTTTAAGGGACATTGCTAGGTCAATATCTGAACTAGTAATGCTGCATGATAAATCCACGATAATAAATTGAAAACTGCAAAAAGTAATCTTGTCCCGGGCCCTTACATCATCTTACTCTATAATGTAGCTTAATTTTTTATCTGGCAATTCTTTGAAGTCGTGTTTGTTTAACAGCTGCTGTTAAACGGCTATAGAAATAATCCACAGAATCTATGAAAGAGTAATGTCTCTGAAATCCCCATAAAAAACGTGCTGTAGGAAACCATTATTTACAGCCATCTTTAAACATGTAGGCAATGGAGACGATTCCCTGGAAGCCCTTTAAAATTCCCCTCGGGAGATCTACAAACGTTAAACTGTTGTTCGCTTAACATCAGATCTCACATGTAAGGCCATCGATTGAGATTCACTGAACTTCTTCCAAACTCATCTAGACGAATCCTTTCGGAATTTATTTGAAAAATTTAATCATAATGGGCTATACGCCTTTTTAAAATAAACTAAGCGATCGATTCAACCTCTGGTGGTTGAATAGGAGAACGTCAAAAAGAGTGTTGTGGGCAGAATTTGTGCCGTGAAACATAGGAAGCGGAACACTTTTTCATCCCGGGCCCTTACATCTTCCTGAAAAATTGATTCATCTGAGAGCTTGAGCTTGAGCTTGAGCTTGATTGACCGCCCACGGTTGCTACTCTGTTACTGCCAGATCAGCTGTAATTACACAGAGAACCAATAGACGATGCTTGGGACTAGCAATCATCCTCAATGTGTAAAAACTGGTGATCTTAAATTAGGCAATACCAGCGCCGGCCGCGCCCGAACACAGGTCAAGAAAGGAATGGGAAGGATTGTGTTGACATGACACTCGCTTTGATGGAAGCCGAGAACACCTCTGCACTTCCACGAGGAATCACTGGGATGTTGGATAAGAGGGTTGGGTTTGCAGCAGGGTTCGTTTTGGTAAACGATAAGCTGAATTGATGTCCTAACGATCATATAACGCGAAGGAGCTTGGGACTAAACCCACGGTCTTCTGCTCAGTAAGCAAAAACGTTTGCCACTAGGCAGACGAGCACCTTTTTAATCACCGAGTTGCTGTTATTACCATGTAGTCATATTAACAAATAAAACGATTGACAAATCTTGAATGTGGATGGGCCTGAGATTAGACTCATGATGTTCTGCTCAGTAAGCAAAAACGGTTGCTCTAAGGCCACCGAGCCCTTCATATCACATAATACCGTTGCTCAAATTTTTGTATCCATTCAAACCCGGAACCAACGACAACAACGAGTTTCGCAAAATACGCGATACACAAGCGATTTTACCATAAATCTCTTTGATATGTAAGGGCCTGGGACCGCGTTTTTCTGCTCAGTAAGCAGGTCACTGTAACCGACGACCTTTCAAATCCGAAAACTAAAAACTACGAAAAAGTACTTAGGCCTTCATTAAGTTCCACTTTCACGCGACGTTCAATGACAGGGTCCTATCCAGGATTACATCTGAAAAATCCAAATTTGGCCAACGCCCACCCTAAACCTAAACCTGTTCTAATTCACCTGAAATGACTAACGAATGGAAGACTTTGACTACCCAGCCATGCAATAGTCTCATTCCGTGCCTTATGGCAACTTGATGATTCTATTGCGCTCATCTTTTGGCACCACCCAGGGGAGACTTGGTCCTGTACCCAATGCTTAACTTATCTCCATTCCACTCAGCTACTCGCAATTTCTTGTGATATAGTGGGCGGAATATTATTATATGAGACAATTCAATGCAGACGTCTTTCCAAATTTGGCAGATCGACAGGTAATCGGTGAGTTATCACGATAGTTGCTATTCAACAACTCGACAACGTCCCATCGTCAACGCCTGCTATGAGAATTTCCCATTGCAGACGCCAACGAAATGACGTCATCGAGCTATCGATCAACTACCCTGGTTATCGCCTGGTACCTTATAGCACGATGCTAGGAGGCGAACCGGAAGAATCGATGAGCTACCTCCCCCTGAAAAATTGATTCATCTGAGATGCTCCAAAACTTGATCTACAGTTGAAAAAAATAATTCTAAATCGTTTTTGCAAGGATCCTCCTGGTGTTCAGGAATATTTGTGTTGAGACAAATGTAACAAAATGTCGAATTATTCAAAGGAATGTTTGACAAAAGGTCAAATGACAAAATGTAGAATGACATATGATCAAAAGGACAAAAGGCCGAAGATATAAAAGGTCGAATGGTCAAAAGGTCGGATGGACAAAAGTGCGACTGTAAAAAAAGCCCAATGTACACAAAAGGTCGGATGGATAAAAGGTCAAATGATGATAAGGGGGACAAAAAGTCGAATGGACAAACTGTCGAATGATGAAGAAAAGGTCGAATTATTTAAAGAGGAACAAAAGGTTGACCGGTTCAAAGAGGGACAAAATCGAAAGGTCGAATGAACAAAGCGTCGAATGAACAAAGCGTTGAATGACAAAAGGTCGAATGACAAAAGGTTGAATGACAAAAGGTCGAATGACAAAAGGTCGAATGATAAAAGGTCGAATGACAAAAGGTCGAATGACAAAAGGTCGAATAATTCAAAGGGGGACAAACGGTTTAATGAAGAAAAAACGTTAAGTCCAAAGCACGACCGCATTGTTGACGTTTTTTCTACTGAGCTCGGCTGTGCAAATCTCGGCAAAAAAAGTTTTACTGAAATCTCAGCAAACATTTCGTTTGTTTGCTGAGATTCAGCTAAGCATTATCCGAGACTCAGCAATCAAATGTCACTTTTGCTGAGATCTCAGTGAAACTTTTTTTTTGCCGAGATTTGCACAGCCGAGCTCGGTAGAAAAAAAACTAAGTTTGTAGGACTACGAGATTACTTTTGCTGATCCATCCAATAATATATTAATAACAAAATGGCTCAAAAATTTACTCCAAAATGAACAATACATTATTCATTTTTTTAAAATTGGGCAGTTGTTGAATAAATCCTTAAATAAATATTCTAATTTTGATATTAGAAGATTGGTTCCTTTATTATTCATAGTTAGGTTCAAAACTTGTTTCCAATATGGTGAATTATTAGATAGACATGAACAAAAATTTTGGTTTTACCATAGTAATTCCCATACAAACTTCAAATGGTTTGTGCCATCTCAGTTTCTCACCAAATGGGTTAAAATTTTGAGAGATTAGTCAGGATCCGATTTGGAATCGTTTAAGTATTGTGGAGCGAAAATTTCAAATTTTGCATCACTCTAATGTTCACCCATCTTTCGGAAACTTACTAATGTTAGTAATGGCAAAACAACTTAAGAAATCATAGTACACCTGACATCACAAATCTTTGAGCTGTAGAACTATCACCGACAAACCGACATGAAACTTAAACTTAACTTTTGATCGAGAATTCATAACGGCCGATTCAAATATGCTGCGATCCCAT